TTTTTTTTTTTTTTTTAATCAGAGAAAACCAGGGTCCCTGCTGATAACATGCATATATTCCTCTTTCCTTCCTCCTTGTCCCTTTCTTTTAAATGATAAATGTAATTTAGATTAAATTAATTTAAAGCTTCCAAAATAAAAATGTGCATCAGGAAATGCCCTATTCAGAAAGCCCAGATGCAGGGCATTTGCATAGGCAGAGAGTATCCTGCTAGACACGAACAGCACGTGCCTCCGGCACCTGGTGGGGCACGGCCACGCTGGCAGCGGCAGTAACACGATGGTGATAAGCACAGAGCTCCCGCAGGCACAACCAGCAGCAGGAGGGGGGTTGGCAAGTGCTGACCAGGGTTTGGCAGCCACCTGCAGGCGGCCAGCAGCACTGGCAGCACCCACTGGCTATCGTGAGCTGCCCACAGACGCTGCAAGCAGTGGGGTGGCAAGTGGCGATCGCCCGCAAGGGATATACTGCCATGCTCCCACTTGCGTCGCCCCTGCTGCTAGATTTAAAAAAAAAACAAAACTCCTAGAATATGCAAAGAAGTAGGCAGCACATAGTAAGCTATACTGCTTGCTGCCAGAAGAAGTCAGGCACCGCTGTGCTGGGAGCCAGAACCAAAGCGTTCCTCGAGTGCCTGGGAGGAGGTAGAAGGGCTTCATTTTACTTATGTGAGCTTGCATGGTACTTAAGGACTGTGTTATTCAGGAGGACTGGTGGAGAAGCTCCTCAGGGAGCAAAACCACCTTTCTACTGTATAAATAGTTCAGTGAAATTCCCCATTACAAGATCAGTAATAAGTGATCCTGCCCCAGGAGGTTTAGAAGGTCAAAAGGGGAAAGAACAAAGAGTTGTGTGTAAACTGTATGCAAGTTTGAGATGTGTGTGTTGTATTTTCCCACATCTAAATTGACTGTCACCATGTAGTATGGGCATACATGCTTATGCTAATCAATGCATCTCGCAGGTATTTTGAATACTGAGTGCATTAAAACAAAAAACACAACACAGTTTCATATATGCGAACGCATGCAACTATTTCCAATCAAAGAATTTTACCTGGTATTTTATGGACCATATGATCGGTTACAGAGCTACACAGCCGGCGTTTCAAGATAAAGTACCTAGCTAGAAAGAACATGAGATCGCTAGGAATGGCTGCATGGTAATAAATAAGAAGAGCTGGTCCTTCTGGTATATTTTTCAAACCATGAAGCTCATACCCTGTTTGAAGTATGAAGTAAAGCATTGTTAATGTTAATTTTAGGTTATTTGGAATTTGAGCATAAGCTTTTTGCTAGACAGAAGCATGAACTTACGTAGCAAGCAGTACGGAGCAGCTATGTCAAGAACTTCCAGTGCTTGGTACCTTCTTAAGAATTTGGGCCCAGATTCATAGAGGTATTAAGAAATTTTAATTCTGAGAGTAGCACAACCCAAGTGATTTAGACATTTCAGAACGACTTAAGAATTGAAAAGTATAGGTGTAGGCATAAGTGTCACGTTCTCTCACCCCTAAATAAAACAGGGACTATTTTTAGAAGGCAAAAATGTAGAAAGATTTTTGCAGCGTTATGACCAGGGATCCTGATTTTCCCCAATTAAAAAAAAATTGTAAACTCTGATAAAACCCCAAAAAACTCATGATCAAAATTAAAGGTCCCCTACATCACCGACCCCGGTCCTGCCGGTGCCCCTCATTCCCCTACACTGGTCTCCTGGCCCTGCTGGTGCCCCTCACTGCCCCCACAACAGCCCCTCAGCCCCGCAGGCACAGGCACACAGGTAGGCAAGTGTGTACGGAAGGAAGGGGTGGAGCCAGGGGCAGCAGTGCCCTTCTGTGGTCTGCACACACGCCACCCAGCCGGCTAGACAGTGTGGGGGGTGGGGCAGCAGGCTTGCCATAGACTCCCAGCACCAGGAAGATTGGTGCTGCCACTGCCCCAGCTGGCAGCACCAGCCTCCTGTCACCCAGCAGGCAGATCAGGGCTCACCCACACCCCTGGGAAAGTGTCCAGCACAACCCCTGCAGCCCTCCTCGGGGTGCGGGTCAGCCCCCGATCTGCCTGCCGGATGACAGGAGGCTGGCGTTGCCAACTGCAGCCAACGGCAGTAATGATTTTCCTGGCGTGGGCTGCACCCAGCACGTCCCAGCTGGCAGCACCAGCCTCCTATGATCTGGCAGGCAGATCGGGGCCCCTGCAACCCCAGGAGGAGTTGGCAGAACCCCGCAGCCCTCCCAGGGGTGCAGTACCCCCCTCCCCCCCAATCTGTCTGCCAGATCGCAGGAGCAGCCTCCTGCCACCTGGGACACGCTGAGCGCAGCCTGCACCCAGCACCAGGAAGATAGCTGGGGCCAGCGGCATCACCAGGCAGCACCTGTCTCTTGTGATGGAGGTCTTCCCACACCCCCAGGAGGACTGTGCCCTACTGCTCCCAGAGATGTGGGCCCCACTCCCGGGGGGTCCAAGCCCTGGGATTTGGGGGGGGGGCGGAAAAACAGGGTTTCCGCATGAGCCAATTTGCCCCAGACCCCGCACCATTCTCGGGACAGCTCTGGTGCAGGGCCAAGGCAAATCAGCTCATGCAGGGAGCCACCTCTGCCCTCATCCTGCTTTTGCAAAGAGCTGTACAGGCTGACAGAGTTCTAGCCTGCAGGAGCTGATTGCATAGACGGTGGGAAACCCCCAACCCTGCTAGGAGGGGGAGGAAGAGATGAAAGGGCAGGGCTTGAGGTGCTCACTCACCCAAGGCCTGGCTCAGGCTCACTTTCCTTCCTGGAGTTTGTTAACGTAAGTAGAACTTGAAGGTTGCGAGCGAAGGGCTGGGGGGAAAGCTGGTTGGGGGCTGAGGCAGCACGGAAGTGTTGGGGGAAGATGTGGAGTGCCCACCAGCAACATTCTCTCTAAGGACTAGTGTTCCACGAGCATGCCGCCTTGGTCCGGCGTGGGACACTTACTGAAGGGGGCTGGGGGCCGGAGACCGGGAGCTGGAGCTGAGAGGCTGGGGGCCGTAGGCTAGGGCTGGAGGCCAAGAGGCTGGGGGCCAGGGGCCGGAGCTGGAGCTGGAGGCTGGCTCTGCCGGCTCCGGGCAAGTGCTCCGCTCCCCCTCATCAGGGCCAGGGAGTGGAGCACTTCCCTGGAGCCGGCGAAGCCCGCACCAGCCTCCATCCCTGCCTTGCCTCACCTCAGGGAAAAACCGCTGCCTGCCCCTGTGAGTATCTGCCGGCTCCAGGACACTGCTCCGCTCCCCAGCCCTGCCAGTTGGCAGCACACGGACCCAGAGCAGCGTGGTATCAGCCTTTCAGGGAAGCCACACACGGAGGTGCAGAGCCCCTTCAGGGCGATAGTGCTGCTCCGGGTCCATATGCCACTGGCTGGCCGTGCACTCCACGTGGGGCTTTTCCCCAACACCTCCCCCTTCCTCAGCCCCCAACCAGCTTTCCACAGGAATTTATCTGGCTTCATACAGGAGCCAGCTTCTTCTCTCTGGCTTTAGGACAGGGGTTATAAACAACCAGAGGTATGTGTTCCCCCAGGGGTACTTAAAACAGCCGTAGGGGGTATGCACAGGCGGGCAGGGACAGAGCATGCCCTGGGGCACGGTAGTGGTGTCTCCCTCAGTGCCTTCTCATACTTGGCTTCTTACCTGGGGGAGGCAGAGGAGCACGCCAGGCGCTGCTGCTCCCATGTGGCACACTGCAGCGCTTGCCCGCTCCCCACCACAGCTCATTATCTGTGCCCAGAAGCAGGGCCAGGGGAGGGGGAAAAAGGGCAGTAGTGCCCCCTCTGCAGGTTGCACATGCACCGCTTGGCCAAGGATGGGGGTGGTTCACACGCAGCAGATGGCACTGCCATTGCCACTGCCATGCCCCATGCTGCTTTCCTGTGGCCAGTCACATGTGCGACTCTGCTGGACCAGCAGGATGTGGCAGTATTGGCCGCCACATGCAAGCCCCGTCCCCACTAATTGTCTGGCCAGCCAGGCGGCGCATGTGCAGACCACAGAAGGGTACTGCTGCCCTTGTCCCACCCCTCCCCTCCACACACACACTTGCCTGCCTGTGGGGCTGGGGGGCTGTTGTGGGGGCAGTGAGGGGCACCAGCAGGGCCTGTGATCCGGCAGGCAGATTGGGGGTCCACACCCCCAGGAGCAGTTGGGCACAGCACCTGCAACCCTCCCCAGGGTGCGAGCAGGCCCTGATCACAGAAGGCAGGTGCTGCCGGCTGGGGCCAGCGACAGCACCGGGTGTTGGCCGCGACAGCACCGGGTGTTGGCCGCGACAGCACCAGCCTCCTGGTACCAGGCGACAGCACCAGCCTCCTTTGATCTGGCAGGCAGGCCCCCGATCTGCACCCCAGGGAGGAGTCAGCAGAGCCTTGCAGCCCTCCTAGGGGTGTGGTGGGAGGGGGGGGCCCAAAATCTGCCTGCTGAATCACAGGAGGCTGGTGCTGCCAGCTGGGACCAGCACTGACACCAAGTGTAAGCTTGGCTTTGAAATGTTTCGAAACACTTTGAGTGCCCTTGTTTTGTTTCAAAGCCATTTTGAAGACTTTTGTTTGATTTCAATTTTGCTGTTTCGAGCTCTAAACAAAACACCAGGTGAAATTTTGCACAGCCCTAATGGCAATCTGTGTGACAGAGCAAGTCCTCCTGGAAACAGAGTGTGAAAGAAGCGTAGATTCATCAACTTCCTGGTGTGGCAGACTGTATGGATTCCACACTTCATGGACATACTGTGTTTCCAGGAGACCTTTCTCTGTGTCATGCGAGGTTAGGCTGCAAGGCATAGCAGCAAGACTGTTAGTTTTTTACTATAACTAGTTCTTCATATAAAGTGCTGTTTCTACATCAAAAGTCTCAGCAAGATCCTATGAATAGCTTACTTGCTGCTTCAGGCACGAGCTATGATGCTTAGCCAATAGTTATGGGTGCAAGTGAAAACATCTTCCTCACCAAAAGCACACACTGCAATTTGAAGGGGTGGGGGTAGGTACATGTTTTGTGACAGAAATATGATATGTTACCATTTCACAGATAGTTAAAATACTAGTTTAGACAAAAGAAATTTCTTGATTTCAAGGGGTACTTTTTTGTTCAGGAGACCCATATGGACCCAGAATACCAAGAACCCAGGGTTAAAACATTCACCTGGGATGTGAAAGAACCACCGTGAAGTCAGCTAGAGTGACGATTCGAGATTACTCTGCCAGGGCACTGACACACATGCAGGGAGTCTGCTCTGAAGTGCTATAAATCCAATGTGTGTGACTAATCAAGTCTCCTCAAGCATGTAAACTGACGCATGCTGGCAACCTTGTGCATCACATGTGCGCTGTGCTACTGATGCGTCAGCAGTACACTTTGAACTAAAACACATTTGATGTGCTTTAGTTCAAAGCACACTGCTACCATTTTCTCAGCACTGAGATGTGTTGTCCTACTGATGCACCTGTTCCCAACATAGCACAAGGTACTTTTAGTTAGCACAGCTCACTAATTAAAAGTGCCTGGCACTGCGTCTGTAAAAACACATGCGAAAATGACCCTACTTCCTAAAAGTGCTTCCTGGATGGGCAATGGGCACAGTCGGGTGGTAACATCTCTGTTTTTTCAGCAGAGAGAACTAGCCTGGCTCATCTAGGCAACTCTGGAATAGGCCTCACAGCTGACAATCCCAAGCAAAGACAAGTGAATGTCCCACAGCTGAATGTCATTTTTAAAGGCCTATCTTGGAGGACAAAGTGTTTCCCAGGCCCATCTGCAAAACTGACATTGCATGAAAAACAGGTTTGGGGACTAAAAAGGACAAGACTGGATTACATCCAGGATAAGAGTTCCTTGCCTCAGTGTTCCTAAGTGAGGGGCAAGACAAGTCTCTCACTGGGATTGTAAAGAGGCAGCAGCAGGGCGCCAGACTACCAAGCGTAGACCCCGAGGTGGTGCAGAGGCACTTGGAGGAACTGGATGCGTTTAAGTCGGCAGGCCCAGATGAGCTCCATCCGAGGGTACTGAAGGCACTGGCTGACGTCATTGCACAGCCACTGGCAGGAATATCTGAACACTCGTGGCGCACGGGCCAGGTCCTGGAGGACTGGAAAAGGGCCAATGTGGTCCCCATTTTCAGGAAGGGGAGGAAGGAGGACCCAGGCAACTATAGGCCAGTCAGTCTCACCTCCATCCTTGGCAAAGTTTTTGAAAAAAAGATTAAGGTTCACATCTGCGAGAGCCCGGCAGGACAAATTATGCTGAGGGGAAACCAGCACGGGTTCGTAGCAGGTAAATCATGCCTGACTAATCTAGTCTCTTTTTATGACCAGGTTACAAAACATCTGGTCGCAGGAGCAGGGGTTGACATTGTTTACTTAGACTTCAGGAAGGCTTTCAATATGGTATCCCACCCCATACTGGTGAACAAGTTAAGAGGCTGTGACTTGGATGACTGCATGGTCCGGTGGGTGGCGAATTGGCTAGAGGGTTGCACCCAGAGAGTCGTAGCGGATGGGTCAGTAACGACCTGGAAGGGTGTGGGTAGTGGGGTCCCACAGGGCTCGGTCCTTGGACCGATACTCTT